ACCCCTATATCTATATCTATATCTATATCTATCTATATCTATATCTATATATATATATATATATATCTATCTATATCTATTAAAAAGAAAAGTCAAAACATACAATATTTACCCTCATTTCGATATGACTCCATAGGGTCCTATAACTTTAACTGTTATAGCCAGTGGTGGTGTGGGCAGGGGTTTGTCCTTTAAGAAGAGTGTTTGTGGGAATTTACTTTTTTCTTTGTAATCTGAATATGTCACGTTGAGCTCTAGGATATTGTGATCAGCATTTTTCTGATATTGTATAGACCAAATTTAAGCAAGAAAATAATTGGCAGATTAATCAACTATGAAAAAGAAAATGGCTGGGCCGTGCCTTGTACCTGGATCATTTTAACAACTGGATATTCTTTCTGAAAATGACCAAATCTGTTAATATTTCATGTAACATTTCATAATAGTGGCTGTCTGGGCTGTTATACGTAGTACTAGTGTCTGCTGGTGTTACAAAGTTAACTTCCACACAGTCCCAATGTCTCAGGGCTGAACAGTGGATGGTAAAAGGTTAAAGTTTTGACAGTTTATTCTCCTGTTTGGACATGTTGTCACTTGCAAATCTTGGTCACTTAAGTAATCCTCCCATGACCTGAATAAACAGAATTTACTTTTGAGGCATTGCAGTGCTGACTATTGTTTCCACCTCTGTTAAGAAGTCTCAGGTTGCATCCTGCACTGCCCAACATTCAGTGAAAACACTGTGTGAATATGTGAGTGTATGACAGGTTGGGTTGGCGTGATGCATTCTTACAAACACAAATTGAGTCACTGCTCGTTGTGCTGTTGGGAAATTTTGTGTGTCACTGCCTTTGGGTGTGAGAGGCACCACTACGATAGTGAAACAAACGGTATGTACAGTAGAGACTGTCATGAGTTTGTTTGAGATAACTGAACATTAACCATCCCACCCCTTTGTCTCTCTTGCTCTCACAGATTTTATTTCACTTTTGTTTAGATGTTTTTTGTGCACTAATTACTCGTATTCATTCATATCATTATTATCAACCTGCATTTAAACCTACACCTGCATCTTGTGTTCTCGAGGTCTTCCATTGATGTGTGTTTGCATCATAGAGCCATTAATTCATGAATGGCTTTGAAACAGCAGTGTAAAACCCACACCGCAGCCCTCTGTAGTGATAAACACTTTCCTGTTTTATGTATATGCAGGACGGCCCTGATAGCTCTTTATCACACAATTCTGTCTTTTGATTGCTAACAGGAAGCTGTTTAACCTTTTCTGTGTGTGTGTGTGTGTGTGCAGAGTTTCGTTCACCGTCCCACCTCAGCGGGTTGAACCGTACATCCTCTCTGAGCGGAGCCGACCGGACAGAGTCGCTCTCCGTCAGCGGCAGCAACAGCCAGCTCAACAACAGCATCCCCTTGCAGCAGTACACACCCGACTTCTACGTCCGAGCGCTCACCGACCTGCAGTTCGTCAAGGTTGGTTACACATTTTTAATCTTGATAGAACTAGAACTTCTGGTTTGGGATTTTTGGTCAAACAAAAAAAGCAGTTTGAAGATGTCGCACTAGTACATTGTGATAATAGATGAATAGACCAAACAATTAATCAAGAGTTAGAATAATTGGCAGATTAATCAAAAATAGTTGTCAGTTGGAACCCCAGTCTGAATAAAGCCTTTGTTAGATTGGCTCTTATTGTCTCTGTGTTTTATTGAAACATCTTAATGCTATAATGTCTGGTCAAAGTGGATATGGTTTCAAGTATGGTCAAATACTGTTCTCTCACTGTCTGTCTTGGCTGTCCCAACGTTGCTTTTTCCAGCAACTGTCACAATAAAATAGTTATTTACCAGCAAGGCAGGCAGAGACGTGAGCTAGAAATGTAAGAACCGTGAAAAACCAAGTGAAGAGTGCCATAAATTCAACATGAAGTTAGGACCTGCTTTACACTGACATAATTTAAATGCTGCTGAAACAAGTTATAAGTAGATTAAAACAAGAAACAAGAAACTGTAATCGAATAAAGAGAGATTTAACCCTAGATGCCTCTAAGGCAAATGTGAACAGTTACTGTTACTGTGTATTTGTCCAGAGATAGATTATTATTTGACTCATTTTTCATCCTTTTAAAGGTTGACATTTTGACAGATCTGCTTATTTGCTTTCTTCTTCCATTCTTGGAGAGTTTGGAGAGACAACTCTCATATCTGTCCATTCAGACATGAGAGTGGTATCGATTTTATCTAACTCAATTCTCCTAAAATGTCAAGCAGTACCCTGGTAGACTAAATAAGTCAACATCAATTTTGATCTCAATCTTATTTCCCCCACCCCCTCTTTCCTTTTAGATCACACGGGCCCAGTACCAAAACGGCCTGATGGCATCTCGTCTGGACAGTACGCCCCAGTCCCCGGAGAGCGGCCACAATATGGGTCGCCTGGATCAGACCCCTCCCCCAGCCACCGCCAACACCACCATCACGGACCTGGGAGCGGACTCCACCCCTACGGAGAACGGACCGGACGAGACGACGCTTCTCCTCCTCAATGAGCAGAACTCACCGCACACAGCCAACCACCACAGCCAGTTGGAAAACAGCATTTGACACCCCCCCTCTCCCCCCCTTCCATACGTTTGCACGCATGCACTACTACGCTCGAATGTATGTTGAGGAGGGGAGGAGTGTGTGTGTCTGTGTGTGTGTGTGTGTGTGTTGTGTGAGAGAGGTGTGAGGTGGGGATGCAGACACATGCCTAGTTACAACTGACAAGGCATGAAGAGAAAAGCCATTGTGCATGCATATTGGTGTAAATATGCAAGGATTTATCAACACCCACACACAGACACACACAGACATACCAAAGTGTATTGTAAGAACTTGCCACATCTACATCTACTTGCCACATCTACTTTTCCATCATCATAAACACGCCAAACCCAACACTCATTTACGGTAGTTCAGCGACAGAAAGGAGTATTTGTAAGTGTGTGTGTGTGTGTGTGTGTGTTTGTGTGCGTGTGTGTGTGTGTGTGTGTGTTTGTGTGGTGTGTGTGTGCGTGTTTGCACATGCTCCTTAATGTATTAACTGACGACGAAGATCTGAAGGACCTGCTTGTCTGGACCGGAAAGCCCCTCCCTCTCTCTCTCTTTCTCGCCAGTCAACGTTAGCGGCGTTCAGAGGCGACTTTCTTCCTCCTTCTGTGCGTGCGTGTTTTTAAATGTGTGTGTGTACGCGTTGCTTCCAACTCACTGTCCCTAATCAGAGACTCAGGGAGACTCCGCCCTCCTACCCCACCCTCCCCTCCTTTGCCCACGTACATACATGCAAGCGCAGTCGAAAGCCGCCAAACAAGCCACGCCGCATGTGTAGCATCCTGCATCACCTCCTCACCATCCATACAGCTATAAGACAAAGACGACCCGAGCATGTCAGCAGAGTTCAAACAAAGTAATATATGTTCCGTAGAAATTTATAGTGAGATATTTATTGATGACTTCAGTGTGCGACGGACACACAAAACTCCTACTGACTCTTTTTTTTTGGGGGGGGGAAGGGTTCGGGGTGGATTTCTATACATATACATATATATATTTTTTTTTTCCTTCTTCTTTCCTTGATAGAAGCAGTGTGTAGCCCAGAGCCTTTATCCAAGAGTTGTTAAGAGATTTAGCAGCAATAGACAGCCTGTCTGTTTCGTGATTAAGACAATCAATATGATTATTATGAATGTGTTAAATTAAATGTGTAGGGTACGTTAACTGTGGCCAAGGTGCTCTCGAACGGCCTCCGCTCTGTGAAATATTTTGCTTGCTTCTCTTCGATTTTCACAAACGACAGATCTGAAAAGACGCGATGTTTCGGTTTCAGATGAATCAGGTCGCGTAGGAATCAGTTTTCACAAACGGTGGACGGTATTTGAGAGCACAGAGACGTGGCGAGTCCTTTCCTACTTTATAAGCGAGGGTGCATATGTGTGTTTGTGTGTGTATGTGACCAAAATGGCCATCAACAGACTTGGTGGGAACATAAACCAAAAGAGGGAAGCTTGATCACATTCTGACTAGAACATACTTAGAAATCTGAAACTTTATTTATTTTATTGAGTTCGATGTGTGTGTGTGTGTGTATACGTTAATGTCAATGAGGGGACGAGAAATGTGATTTTTATTTTGCCTCGTTGGGAGATTTTACATGTTAAATGTTCCTTTGCGTTCAGAGGTTACGTTTGGGTTTCCTTTTTTGTAATTCAGATCTGGGGGAAGGGGGGCACTCTAGCATACTGAACAGCGAACCTTAACATTTATTGTTGTTTGTATTTCTGCAGCCAAACACACCGTTCAACACTGGCATCAGCCAAATTTTGTCAGTTTTTACGGGAAACAATATTGTATATTTTCTGATTATCACAATGCACACACTCCACTTATATTTTACTGTACCTTCTGAGGAGAAAATCTTTCCTAAAACTCAATTTTATGTCTTGTGACGGATTTTCTTTGCCTGATTTCTAGCAGAGCCACATTGGTGTTTCATAATTTTTTTTTTTTTTTTTTGTGATATACAGCATGAAAAGTAAATCACACATCAAGTTTTTGTTTTTAAAACCAAAGAGATAGGGCTGCTTTCTTGTCTAGCTATTTCTGTAACAACAACATGTACCAGAATGCAATGCAGCCTTGTGAAAAGTTTTTATTTTTAGTAAGCATTGCTCTCACTTTCATCTCTCATCAGTATCGCTACATATTTTTTTAATATACCTAAATCACAGGTGACTCGATCTGCTCTTTTAATGTTGTGAAATGGGATTCTGGGAAGCGTAGACAATACACACTAAAGGAAAGTGGGTACACCAAATACAACACTTAATTTCAAAAGGCACAGATCATCATAAATTGAAGATCCCTCTAGTTTATGAAGGTGGATTTTTTTTTTTTTAATATTGCTGCTTTCCTGAGATCAACAGCATCAGATTCTCAATCAACAACACTGACATGTTTTCAGATCACTAAATTCCACTTCTGTCAATGAACGAACAGTGTGACATTTTGTTTTAAGTAGAACTACCGAAGCACTGTTTTGGTTGCTATTTGGCGTTCTGAAAGAGGAATTGTCAAATTTGTTTCCCTTTTTAGCATGGATCTGAAACCAAAGCTTGACAAAATGATGATCTAATTTCTCTTTCCAAATGAATTGGAATGACTTGTTATTTTGAGCTTGTCATACCTTTCATGAGAAAAACTAAAATATCACAAACATTTTAGGAAAATGTATCTCACATTGTTGAGTGTGTGACGATGGGCTGATTATGGGTCTGAGCTCGCCTGTCCTGGTGTTTTGTTTCTTCAACAGTATGTCAACGATTTATCTACAAGTTGCTTCATCACTTTACATGGAGATGCTTTTATATTCCAGTTTATTAAGTGGTCAGTTAACCTAAACTTTGAGTTTGTAACACAGTGTGCCTCACACTGCCTTAAAATCACTTCAGTTTGAGTCTGATGTCCAGTTTACCTGATCTTTTATACGTTGTGGTACTTTCCCATTTATTTTCTTTAATTGGCAAATGTTCACAGTTACCCTTATCATATTTTAATGTGGAATTCTACAACACTAAAATCCCAGCAGAATGGATTTTACAAATATATTTGGTTGAGTTAAACCTCAGTGGGCAAGGATACAGGGGTTTGTTTGTTGTTGTTCTTATTTTTGGTTAGCTTACTAGTAAAGGAGGCAAATAATGCATTACGGTTTGTTGGTATGGGGCTGCGTAACATTATGACCACCTGGGCACCTTGGTGGTCATAATGTTATGGCCGATCGGTGTGTATAAGTGTGTTATGTGTCAGTCGATTAATCACTGAATAAAATCAAACCAAAGCCGCATATAAAAAAAACAAATACAATTCTTCAGTCAGCTATTGCTTACAGTGCTGACTAGTGCTTTTTTGCAGCTGGTAACTCTTTGTTAGACTAGTCACTAAAAAGGTCAGGAGGCTAGTTATCTGCATAAATTACTCAAGCTAGTTTGAATTTGGAACATCAGCTAAGCTAGCTAAAATCTCATCTCAGTGTCTTTCTGTGAAGAGGTTTCTTTAACTTTGAAACATATCTCTTGGGTTAAATATCCATATTCCTATGTCCTAAAGATAAATGGGTATGTACAGTACTGTAAAGCGCACAACTCCATGTGTTACTCTATGATTCAGTCACATAGCGAGCCCAACACAAATCTTCGTCGAAAAGTCACTGTGTTTTGTTGTTGTTTTTTTCAGATGTGTTATCCAGCAGCAGGTTTCATTTTGTATTATTTGTGATCCCACACATGTTCACCGTCCTCCCCAAAGGATAAAGTGTTGTGTGGTCCGGTGCAGTCTGGGGGAAAAATGTGTTTCTTCTCGGTGAGACATTGCATGATTTCGTGCAGCCTGTGGACATCTGTGAGCTCATGAAACTCCCTTTCAAGATACAATCTGCTGCTGTTTTGACTATTCCTCTCAGGTCTGTGTTGCAAACGCTCTGTTGCTCCATCATTGAGAAATGTATAGAGTGCTGATGTCACAAATGGGGCTGGCATTGGATAAGAATCATGAGATATGTTGTTAAATGCTGACAATATCTTTGTTTAAAAGAAAAAGTCACATTTTACTATCCAGTTCAATAGTTAATACCCATTTATCTTGTATAATGGGGACTGAAAGCACCAACAAGTGTAATCTTTTGAGAATGTCGAAAAAGAAAACCTTTTTGAGAAAATCCTGGTAAGTTAAAGCTAGTGTCATGTAATGAAAATAGCTTTATTTTGAAAGGTACTTATTCACCACCCACTGATTTTAACTGAACTAATGGGTTTTTTCTGCATTTAGCAGAAATATTTCTGTCTATATTTTTAGATTATAGCTCATCATTGTTATTTTGTGAGTAAAGAAAATTTAAAAAGCCCAGACTCCTCTGTGATTAAAGCACTTTAGCAAAGGAAAGCAGTATTTTTCCCAAAAGACCAAAGTTTGCCAAAGTTGCCGGCTCAGTGACTTTGTTGCAATACTGTTACTGACCAGGATTTCATAATAATTTCTTCTCCTTTACATGACACAGGGGTTTTTAAAAAAAATGTTGCCGTCATGGTCTGTACAGAAACAAAAAGAGAAGCTTAAGGAACTCACTGACTCTGTTGCCTTCACTATCTTTTAATGACTGTTAATTATTTTTTTTTTGTGCTCATTCCTGAATTATATTTTACAAACACACACACAAACACACTCCCATTTCAAAGGACTGTTTATGATCATTTTGTAGATTTATATGGCTGAGATTGTTGTTCAAATGTTTTTGTTTATGTGCGTGCCTGGCCTGTGTACCCCCACCTGTTTTAAATTGTACAGGGTTTGGGTTCATTATGTATGTGTGTGAATGTTTGTGAATCAAGTGTGGTTATTTTTTGTACCTCAGAACACTGTCAGTAATTGTGGTAAACAGTAATTTTTTTTATTTGTCATGGAATTTAATTTGGGAACAGAGCGAATGGAGCGACTGGCGTTGGGGAAGAAATAAACTGATTCTCCTTCATTCTCTCTGGCATGCTGTAACTTAAAAAAACAACAACAGACAAACAAGGTGTAAATACTGTTTTATAATTTCTGTCTTAATGAGTTTTGAAGATGAAGAAAGTTATTAATAAACCTGAGATATATTTCTCTATGGACCTTTGTGATTATCTTGTTTCTTCTGAGGACTTTTCGTTATCCCACTGTGATCCCTATTGGAAGCATATGGACAGTTTTACTTACGAAAAAAGAAAACGACACCTTTTGCCTATAAATAAAGCAATGACATGTAAATAAATCAAACAAACTTCCTAAAACTAACATTAAGCACCCTTAATATTCAGCATAGTTACATAGAAGTAGATCAAGCAAGATTGTTAAACTCTTATTTTCCTAGCATTTAGTTTTTCTTTTGATTAATCCTGTAGAACTGATGAACTCATCTATTTACCCATCAAAGCTGTGACAAACTAATATATAATATATGATACATAATGTAATGTCTAATATTGAAAAGTAATGCACACCAGTGATCGTAGTGAAGTGCTGATTACTGGCTCCTTATGTATTTCTCTTTAATTCAGATAATAGTGTTTCAGCCCTCCGGCTTTCTTCAGGATCAACAATCACAGTAATTACTGGTACGTATAGGTCACACCCTAGTTATCACCCTAATGGTGGGACACGATTATCTAATCACCGTCAGATATGTAACTAACTACGGTATGCATATGCGAGAAATGCATATGGGCCGGAGTATGCAACACTTTTTTGCTACTCTAATGTAATGCCACCTCGATGTGCCGTCAAACATAAAGTTTGTTGGAACGTAATCATGCAATTATCTCTTCTTTGGAAACTGGTAGTTTTTGACTGCTACACCTAAAAAAACATCCTAAACAACCTGTAGTTATCACACTAATATGAGACAGTAGTGGGCAAATAGCCTGTGAGTCAAGGCCAGTCCCCCAACAAAAAATGGCTAAAGATTTCTTTTATAGCTTAAATCAAAGCTTCCATTGGTTTTTCCACAAACTACTGAAGATATTAACAATGTTAATACAAGTTTAATGCAACTCCCAACATAATGAAAACACAAATGTGGTACCGAAAGAACTAAGCAGTGGCTCACCATAACTGCTGACCCCAGCAATTATGCTCTCATTAAGCCCATAATGCCAGTCCTGAGTATACATTACATAACAAGTGTGAGGTTAACCTTTGAAATCCGTTGTGACAGATATTTATTCTTGTTAGTTTTTGCATCTGTACATGATATATTTCTGGGCAAAATAAGTGAACCCCTAATTTTTTTTACAATTACAATTATAACTTATATGTCCTCAAGTTACCATCACAATTTGATATGTTTCTATTGACATGAAACAATCAGTTTTTTTGTTCTTTTTTAAGATAGATAGAAGAGGTATGACGAAAATTCCAATTGTAGAACAGGGGAAATAATGATTATATGTGTGCCAAGACCCCCCAAAAACTAAGGAGCAAAAAAATTAAATGCGCAGCCCCATACCAACATGTGTGTGTTCTGACACCTTTCTATCAGAACCAGCATTAACTATTTAACAGTTTGAGCTACAGTAGCTCGTCTGTTGTATTGGACCACACGGGCCAGCCTTCCCTCATTGCATCAATGAGCCTTGGCCCCCATGACCCTGTCTCCAGTTCACAGCTTTTCCTTCCTTGGAGCACTTTTGATAGATACTGACCATGCAGACCAGGAACACCCCACAAGAAGCTGCAGTTTTGGAGATGCTCTGACCCAGTCATTGAGCATATCACAATTTGGCCCTTGTCAAAAGTCGGCAAATCCTCACACTGCCAATTTTTCCAGCTTCTAACACATCAACTTGAGGACAAAATGTTCACTTGCTGCCTGATATATCCACTCACTAACAGGAGCCATGATAACCAGATAATTAGTAATAAGTACTATTACATCATACAAGCCGTAGAGCAATGACACATGGTGATGAAACATCTACTTAGTGTCTATTGCTGCCAGTGTTACAGATTTGTGGGCCACACAAAAAGGAAGTAAAACTGGAATGTGGGTTGAAATTTGAAGCTGAGAAATCCCAATGCTCCTGCGTCTGTCCTCTTACATCACTGGGAATTTTTCTTGTCAAACTGGTTCTATAGTTCTATATAGATTCCAGCGGAGGATAAAGATGGGCAAGGAGATAAAGTGTGTAATCATACAGTATCCAATTACACCGGATATGATGAATCTGTTTTTAAAACAATTGGGGCAAGTACAATTTAGAAACCTGCTGTTAGAAGACAGATAATGAAGGATTTGGCTGAAAGTGTTTTGTACTTGTACACTTCTCATCACATTGTTTTCATTGTATTAAATCCACATCCACCACAACTCCCCCAGAGGGCTCAGTAGAGGACCACCAACCCACCATTTCCTTCCTCCAGATAGAGCAGCAGTGGAATAAATATTGAGCAATACCTCAGTGTTAAAATACTCTTTTAAGTAAAAGTTAAAAGTTTTTTTTTTTTTTTTTGTAGAAGTAAAGAAATATTACCAGTAGTAGAAAATCCAAATTTCAAAACTGTCAGTATTTAGTGTGTTGGATCAAGTGGCATTTATCGGTGTAGTTGCATACTGCAACTACCTCGCTTCACCCTCCCCTTCTAAAAACAAAGGAGAAACTGCAGTGTGTGAACGCCCCTATTTATTGCCATCTATCTATCTATTGGATTAGATGACTACATGTAATGTGAAAGGGGTCATTCATAGTGACAAACCCTTTAGCTTCATGGAGTGTTTTAGTATCTTTCAGCTCATTGTTTTGGCTCACTTGTACCCCTCTCATCAGCATGGTGTCCAGCTGTTACTGCTTAAAATGCTCTGATAAACCCACTAGCTGCTCAGCACCAAAGGGCATAGACAAAGTTAGAGACTAGCTGATCAACACAGTGGAGAATTTAGCGACTAAAGAGCCAGACTTCTTTCTCAAGAGTTGATGGAGAACAAAACAGAGCTAAAAGAAGAGTAAATATATATTTGCCAGGTGGCCACAACCACAAATAAGTGCTAATTTCGCTCTGTGTCAATTTGCTCGTATGTTTGACACAAGTAGGTAATAGTCTGCCAATGTTGTGTGTACTGCTATAGGCTCAGTGTCCAAAATAATTAAGTAATGTAATACTTTACTTAAGCCTCCATATTTAGCTTTAAACAGTATTTAAACAGTTAATAAATGGTTTATAACACACATAATGTAGTTACAAGCAGATATGAGGTCATTTTAAAGTGTCTATTAATACATTATTGCACTGCACAGTGCTTATCAACAATTATAACTTCTCCTATGAAGACATATTTTATTTTTATCACAACTGTGTTTTTTTTACTTTATTGCATCCATTATCTGAATATATCTGGCAGGTCAGGAAATGTAGTAAAGTATACTCCAGTGTTAGTGTCTTACACCAAACGCAAACTGTGGTGGCGTTAGAGGTGGTCCACTGACGGAAATAATTTTCTTTTCCCAGAACAAAGACACATGAATGATTTTTTTATACTGTGCATTAGTTAACTATTAGAACTAATTAAAGAGAAGACACACTGAATTAAGCTTACAGTACTGGTCATTCAGACCAGGCTGTCTGCTTATTTGTTGAGGTGGATTTTGAGTTTTGCTAAAGGAGAAGTACACAATTGTGAACCATTTTTTTGTTGTAGCATTTCAGCAAGCATAACACAACTTCATAATTTTTTTTATTTCATAAATACCATAGTGGCATTTTTTATTTGTGCTCACATCTTCTGACTAAAAGATATGAAAGTGCTGCTCCAATACTCTTTCCTAATGCCAACAGGATATATTAGTCAACAGCAATTACAAGAGAGTGATTCACAGAGGAATACACATTAAAGTGGTTAAAACACACCCTGGCTATTATGTATGAGGACACACGCAGCTTTATACTAATTAAATATTTCCACTACTTTTCTGTCCTTTCCAAAACAACTCTGATAGTAAAAATACGCATTTCTAAAAGCTTGAAAGTCATCGTTTGACATTTTTCAACAATGAAGAAGTAAGCTCTGGACATCAGGTATTTTATATCAGAGATAAAAGTCATTAAGACGAGATATTAAAGAAACACAAGGAAGTATGAAGAGGCACAGGATTTGAAAAGAAAAGGGCTACACTAAAAATGACCCCCACAGTAGATGCACATTAGACTGCAGACCCCCAATTTGAGAGGATTTTATCTTAAGGAGTATTTTGTATTTTATTTTTAGGTTTCACGATAATAAAGTCAAGTCTATTTCTTCCCTTGTTCTTCCAACTTCCATAAAATTTGATGAAAGTTTTCCTCCTTTTGCTGGGGCCCCCTACTACCCACTCATGGACCTGTGTTGGTGCCTGGACCTGAGTTTGAAAACCAAAAAAACAGAAGACTCAAATAATCTTAAATCAAATAAGATACTGTACATAATGTACTGTATAGTTAGACTGGGGTAACAGATAAATAAATAACCCCAAATTTAATTGATTACCAGAGGGTGGCTGACAAAAAAACCTTCCAAGGTCCAGTGTGTAACATATACCAATATTTCTTTATTAGTAGAAATTGAATATGATATTCATAGATGTTTTCATTATCTTGAATATAGGAATTTTTGTGTTGTGTTATATCCATTAAAAATCCCCTCCAGACATAAAAAAAAAAGTAAAATCTGCTATAATTCTTTACCTAATTTTAAATTTATTACATTTTTGATTTATTAATTTAAATTCTTGCTCATTGAAAAATCCAGAGTTTAACTGCTGGACATGCCTCATGTCTCATACTTCCCTTAAAAGGAGTATTAATGCTGTGCGGATTTCGTGGGGAAATAGAGTACATTGAATGTAATTAAATCTGTAATAAGTGTCTAAAAACACAACTTAAGCTCAGCAACACTGAATATACAGTAACAACAGAGAAGCCTGTTCCCTTTCTCAGGTATGTCTTTGTCTCTCTACAGGCACAATGAGTTTAAACACACTTTTAAACAGAAAAAGATTTGTAAATTACACTATTATATCATATATGGTTATGGTATTATACAACTCAGTATATAATATAAATATAATTATATTACTGCAGCCCTTCCCTCTCCAGACAGTGTAAATCCACATCCTGTGAAAAGCTGGCTGATTCCAGCTGAGTGACGTTTGGATCACATCATAACAGGGAAGTGAGGAAATATCAAATTCTGCCACTGTTATGCAATTATAAACAACAAGTAAGTCTACTATGTCTGGTGGGAATTTTCTCACATGTAAAGAACCCCAAAACACCAAAGGGCGGGTTCAAATACGTGAGAATATTAGGAAATAGGTGATCAAAATCATTTCAAATCTTTAGCTTTTACTCAGCTGTACTTTTTCAGCCAGGTTGTGTATTTTTGGGTATTTCAAAGATAAAACAACTTTTAGACAGTTGTGACTAAGCAATATCTTAAGTAATATTTATTATTATTATTAGACCCTTTACAGCAGGGGTCTTAAACTCAAATTGTCAGGGCCACTGTTTTTCTGAAAATATTTCCATTTCTAGCACCATACTTAACAAGAAAATACATACATAAGTTTCTATACATTCTTATATATATATTTGTAGCTTTTGCAGCCAAACAACAGATAAAGCCCTGAAACCTGCTCTCTTCTTATCAACAGTTTACATGCATTTATGAGCACCTTTGACCTTTCTTTCCATTATTATTTATTTATTTATTTATTAGTAATTTAATTTGAATTGTATATGAAGGGTTAGTTTAAATTGACATGAAACAATTAGAATTTTTGATTTTCATAAAGAGCAGAAACCGCAAGCAAACAAAAAAATTGCAGTATTTCATCATCACAGTGTACGCAGCAGAGAGGACCAGCCCACTTCCTGGGAAAACCCTTTCTTGACACTACAAAAACCCTGCAGGTTAGGACAGACAGGCAGAACAACAGTGACAGAGCGACAGTTGGGATCTTAACCAAACACACTGAAACAACTTCTAATCTACTGACCTACTACTACTGAACAGGTAAAATGACTTTTTTTATAGTTTTTTTTTTTCTGGAGCAGATTTTCAAGAGGATCTTTGCTTTGCTTTTACTAGGTTATACTTTGAGTGTATTTGTGGATTGAATCTGGTTACAGGACAGTTTATTTAACATCTACAGCCTGTTGTGTCATTAATAACTGCTAGAAGATTTATTCTGTCGGATGAAAACCTTTTTAATATGATATGGCAGCTGTACAAGTGCCTTGCAGTCAAATGTTGATACAGTTGTGAGTCATGAATCATTGCAGCAGCAGACAGAGATGTAGCCTTTGCAACAGAGAGTAAAAGGATAAATAATTATATTAAAGGAAAGGAAATGTAGTAACAATGAAAAAAAGCTAATAAACAGGTAGAGTTGAAGCTGAAAATCTAGCTACATTGCCTGAAGTTGTTTTCTGTCTTCCTGCAGAAACATGGAATCTGAGATGAAATGCAACATGAGCGAGATGTGGAGATCCAAGATGCCCCAGGGACTGGACTTGGAGGTTACCCATCACCCACTGACAATGAGGCGCGTGGTCAACCTCATCATTGCCATGGAGAGACTGAAGGGCTTCAGTTCAGAGTCACTGCTGAGCACTGAGTTCACAGATGATAACCTGCTCAACATGGTGCTGGAGAACGTAGTGGAAGGTAATCACACAGACAAGACTTAAACACTATCGCATTAAAAAGCACTTGACTGTTTTCTCTGTGACCCATGCTGCCATAAATCCTCCTAAAGGAACTGTGGGAACTATAGGAAGTGAACAGTTCACTTCCAGATCCTGCTTGTTGATTAAAAAAAAACATACTCTGAAAAACATAACTCATCAGATGTTCATTTCCCCCCCCCCTCAGAGAAAATTGTGTTCGAGCGCGGAACAACTCCAGCAGCCCAGTACAGCAGGCGACGTGAGGTCCAATGCAGCGTGACCGACAGCGAAAAGAGGAGCTTAGTTGTGGTCCCAAACAGCATGGAGCTCCACGCAGTGATGCTGCAGGGAGGCTCTGACAGATGCAAAGGTAACTGCATGTGACAGATAGATCAGATTGGTTAGAAAATGATCCTCTGGGTCATGGTAGATGTTTGCATTAAGGGATGGTTTGGTTTTAGTTTATCTGACAACTGTTGGTTTGAGATTTGAGCTGAGGCTGTTTAATGGTGATCATTTCTTTATTTTTTAAATGTACACCTAAAATGTCCCCAAAATTCAGTGTTTCCACCACTACTGCAGGATGGAAAACACACAGTAACACTAATACAGAGCTTGTCTTGGCTCTGTTACATAGACACAGATGTGAACTTTTAGTGAAGTGCACAGAAGACAGAGGTTGACATTGTCTTTCAGCTTTCATGAAAATGAACCCTTATACTCTGTTCTCTCCTCAGTCCACCTGAACATGTCAACCTACCTGGACCGTACACCCAGCGCTGAGGCTCAGACTGTGGCTCTGGGCATCAAGGGCACAAATTACTACCTGTCTTGCCACAAGGATGGAGAGGAGCCAACCTTGCATCTGGAGGTAAAAACTGTGACACATTACACAAATCTCACATAAAGATTACACACTTTGTAGTCCTGCTGATTTGATCTACCTGGTCGTCTGACATGTCATCTTTTCACACCTCAGGCAGTGGACAAAGCCAGTCTGGCGAACATCACCTCGGACAGCGACATGGTGCGATTTCTCTTCTACAAACAGGACTCCGGGTTGAACATCAGCACCCTGATGTCTGTCCCCTTCAGCAACTGGTACATCAGCACAGCAGAGGAGAACAACCGGCCGGTGCAGATGTGCCAGGAGACTGCCAGACGCCACCGAGCCTTCAACATCGACAACCTGAAAGTGGACCCTACAACTGAGGATCAAGTTTGTCCCATTTTAAACGGACTGTAAAATACACTACACTTCAGATATCTTATATTGTATTCAAAAAATCAGCAACAAAGATATCTATATTTGTTTTAAATGATTACCACTGTTGGCTAGAACGACTTCTGCAAGTTTTACAGAGTCTATTTAATGTATGTACCGAGTACACAAAGTGAGATGCTTAATGTATTGACATAGTCAAGTATCACCACAAGGTGGCATTATTGTGCCGCCTGGTGAGCACCCTTTGTATTTATTGTGCTGAATGACATGACACGCTATTATTGCTTTTATCTATTAATTTATTTTATTGTATTTATTTATTAACCATTAATTTAATATTTAATATATGTATCGATTTTGAAAAAATTCTTACTAACAATTATTTAAATGTTGTATGTATGTACAATGAATCTTAATAAAGCCTTTAATTTTCAGTATTTGGATTTGTGTTTTATATGCTACGATTTGGTAAATGACACAACTCAAACAGGGAGAAATCACTTCACAACAGACATTAGTTGTAGCCCAGTTCTAAAGACAGTAATCTTAAACAGAGTTTGAGCTATAGTACCAGTACCCTTCTTTAACTTGTATTATTATTATTATTATTATTATTATTATTATTATTATTATTAAGGCCAGTACACACAGAGGACCCAGGAACCAACCAGTATTCAAACAAATGAATAACTGTCCTGAAGTTTTCAGGGAAAGGGGGTCATTTGATGAAACACAATAATTTTAGGAATCTGCAGTATAGTATACGTATATTATGACACTTAGTAAATATGTATACTATTAGTACACTTTTGTGGTATTTATACTTCCCTTTATGCTATTTTATAGCCTACTTCTACTCCACCACACTTAACCTATTATTAGAGAAATAATAATATTCCACTACATTTATTTGACAACTCTAAAATAATAATATAACACTCTGAAAGTGGCCATTTTGCATGAGTACCTTTACTTTTGATATGTTTAAGCACATATTTAGCACTGTCAGTATATATAGATACATATACAGAGGAACTTTAAGTAATGGATCTAAATATTTACATATACAGTGGGCGTGTCTGTGCTTTTTGTTTACGTTCTCTGCTCCAATCAGCGCTTTGTCCTTGCGCATGCGTACTGTTGTTTCTGAATTTAAAAAGGACCAATCAGAGAAGAGGAGGCGTTCACTCCCGCTATTTCAAACACGGATGTAGTTGTTTTTAACGTCTCGTAAACTAAACTAAGTTAAGTTTCAGCCTAAAGAGCCGTATTTTAAAATCATTAAGTTATCTGGACACGGTCGAGTGGAGACACTGAACTCTAACAGAGATGGAAGAAGCAGAGACTGTATCGATACTTCCCAGAAAAGGTTAGCGAGCTTGTTAAGTTGCATAAAAGTCAGGTCAGTTAGTTAGCGTTAGCATCGGTTAGCTCGTTTAAACCGTGATAATAAAAGTTAACATGTTAATAAAGTGAGCTTTTTATTCATGTGTAATGTTAAATACCATGGCGTTAACGATGAGGCTTTAAACCAGTCCTATTGAAGTTATGTTTGTTACTCGTATGAACTCTCTTTTTCTTCTGATGCTGCACTTTAATGACAAAGTATAAACTGTAGAGGGGTAATTAAATCAAACAATGCCCCAACGCAAGCTGTTTCATTCTGCTATCCTTTCAGCTGTTTTCTTATTAACCACGTTACTTTGTCAATAAGCATTACACCAGTGATGGCAGTATGAATGCAGTGCAAACAGTGAATGGTTTCAGTAACATTATCTTGATGAAATATAACGTTAGGAGGTGAAAGTGGATCACATCGTTATAGTTGAACACATGCTCTGCCAGGCATTTATGTCTGATTATATAACAATAACAATAATAAAGAACAGCTAGATTTAGTGGTTATATAATTTCCCTCTGGGATTATTAAAGTATTTCTGAATCTGAATCTGAATCTGAATAACAGTGAAAGTGCTGCATTAGTTAACTTATATGAAACGGGCTGCAAATAAGTAAATAGTAATTCCTTTTATAATGGATCCTTCTATCAATTTCTATATTAATGCTTATTAAACAGAAAACAGTGAACAAAACTCAACAACGTTCACGTTTCAGAAGCTGTGTGAAGTTTTAGATGAATAATTATTTATACAATTAATCAGTTATCAACACTTTTGTAGATCGATCAGCTAACTCATTAATTGACTGCTCATTTACTCTCGTGCAGTCACTTTAAAATCAAATGGAGTATAGATGTGTCACCAACCCGCAGCCAGATGTCAGTAAGTTTCTGTGGATGTCTGCAACCACCAGAGCCTTTCCTCTAGATATTGGTTACAGCTGCTGTTGTTTCATTTGGATTCAAAAGATTTGCACTTTCTGCAGTTTTGTTTCTCCAGAGTGTAGTAGAAAGTTGATTTACTAAACTTTGTGAACTCTTTTTGGTTGCATCCAACAAGAGGAACTAAAGTTCTGTATGTAATAAAATGTGGTTGTTTACTGACATTGTCCCAATCGTTTCAATCGACGCCCAAAGGCATTTTATTCAGGTTTCACCAGTCGCCGCGTCATATCCTCTTTGTGCATGTGTCTGCGTTGTGGTTGTCTGCCAGAAGCTGCCACGGACTGACTTTTTATCCAGTTTAAGCCACATTTTTACAAAACAATTTTTACAAAACATTTTTTAGATCCTGGTCATTTAAACTATGTATTTTAACTAGAGGAAAGCTTTTTAGTCATCGGAGGTCTAGATCTTAAGTTGTAAGCGGGGCAAATGCAAACAGCTTCTTTTGTCTGCTGAACAAAAAGAGAGAAACACTGATTTTTAAGGTGAAACTGCTTTATTTTATTTTAATGACTGGGTCCATTTGTTTTGGAGAGAAAGAGACCTCTTGAATGATGAACACTGAAGGAATCCAGACTGGGAGAAGCTGACTGCATAATGATACTTTGTTACTGTTGCAGAAATGACTATTCTCTGTGGAATTCACAGTTGAGTTTAATATGTAAAGTAATTTGTGGTGCTGAATTCCTTTGTTCGGGTTTTTCCTTTCACAGAGTTGCGTAAGCAGAAGCTGATGGAATACCTGGCAGCAAAAGGAAAGCTGAAACAGCCTAACCCTAAGTAAGGAACAACATCTCTACATGACAACTCAACAATGTGTCAGTGTGTTTTAAATGTTTATCATCTTATTTAAGGTGTGAGCCTGCGAGTTTGGTAGTGTGTCCATCTGTCCACATCTCGCATACGACTAGACCAATCATTATGTGCGTTTGCCCACATCATTTATTTACTAAATCGACCGCAACTTGACTGATTTTTATAAAAGGTGGTTTGTTATAAATGTAAGGAATTGATAGAAGTGATACTGGTTACTTACTGGAAACCTTTTGAATTGCCATGCAGGCTCCGATCTATTAAAAAGCAACATTAGCAACATCAAGTGTAAATGATTAAAAATCATGCACTCAACTTTTAGGTTTATTTATATTGTTATAAAGCTGCCTGGTTGTTGTAATGTTAAATAACAGAATGTTCTAAATAAATAACAATTATTACATTTATAAGTTTGCGCTTATCTTGTTCATTATTTCTTTAAGTTTATACAGGATGCATAGTTACAATACCATTATACCATTCATCATATGCTACACTAAAACACTTCATTTAAAATGTTTAAAATGTTTGTTCTCAGGCCATATCTCCGGGATGACTGTCAGGTTAAGAAGCCTGTGACACTAAAGGTGGGTGTGAACCTTTATTTGCGCAGATAGTTGATAATTAATGTCACACTGATTTGGCCTGTCAGTCAGGCTCGATTGCTCATGTGATTCAGTGATCTGGAACTACGATAGTGCAAGTTATTTTTTAATGTTGTTTTGTTTTAACAGGTTGTTACAGGAAAAGAAAACAAGGCTCCAGCTCACAGTCTCAGCAGTGACCTCACAAAAACCACAAAGCCCCCTCCCAGAATGGCGTTTGGCATCACAAACAAAAATACTGTAAAAGATAGCGTCCTGACTGGACGGAAGAGCAGTCGCCCTCGTGCAACAACTGGCCAAGCACAACCAAAACATACTGACAACCATGTGTTCACAAGAATGAATTCTGTTGTGTCCTCCAAATCCAGCCTGAATGCAGCTTCTTCAAATTCAGCTCATACTGCTGTGCCCAAATCAAATAGCAGATTTGGCAGTAGCTCAAATGCTGTCCTGTCACTTCCAGTAAAAACAGTTAGTTCCAGGATGAGCCTCGGCCCTGTTGTCAAAACCAGAACAGGCCTTATCCCAGCAGTGACCCAGCCAAGACACGGTCAGAGTCAAAACTTAACCCAGACCTCTACCAAAGCAGCTAATAAATCTGAGGCCAACACCTCGTCATCGGTTTCTGTTTCCATGAAGTCTGCCAAGGCTCAGAGAAAAACATTACCTACCACTGCTCTATTAGATAGAACAGCTGTTACTTCGACTGCAAGAGACGGGATTAAAGTTCAAGATCACAACAAGTCTAACTCTAGACCACTTTTGAGTAAACATTCTCAGCCATCCTGTAAAAGTCAATTCTCAAGTGGACTGAAATCAATGTCCAGCAACTCCAACTGCACAGCTGCCCCTATTAAGCCATCAGGGAGAGTTGGGATGTCAAAAACAAAACAAACAGCTGGACAGCCCACTGACAGGGCCACAAAGCTAAAATCTGAGGGTGATGGGCAGAAAAATATGAAACATTGCAGAGTTCACTCCAGGACATCCTCGGGACCAGCGGGCCCGCGCTGCTCCAGCAGTGTTATGCAAGCTGCTGAGGCTGAGCTGGGAGGGAAACCCAAGACATGTAAAGAGACAGATAGCAAGAAGGGACAGATTTCAGCAAATGCCCCGCCACCAAAAACCGGTATAAAATTAACAAGTGCTTCAGCGTTGCCCCAGACAGTGCCACGGCCTGCCAGGACCATCTGCTACACAGACCAGGCCACAGACACGAGGACGCCAAAGGGTCCAGCCAGGGTCCTTCCCCACACTGAGGGAAAGAAACTGACTGCTGTGCAGGTGGAAAGAATGTAAGTAGAACAGTGCAGCCAACATTGTGTCACATTTAGGAAAATCTATTGGCAGAAATGGAATATAATAATCATAGGTATGTTTTCATCAGTGCCACCTCAGAATAAGAATTGTTATACTTGTTTATTTAAGTTTATTTAACTGTGATAGCGTAATAAGGATATTTTGTCTCTAAAAATAATCGTGATTATCATTTTAGCCCTTATCGTGCAGCCCCAATGTCTGAAAATGCGGGCTATAAGTAACACTATTGTGAATGTTATTGTAGTTGGTAACTAGCGATGACTTTAGCTGTTCTACTGGAGCAATACCAGGACATTTTTTTATTGATACATTTTTCTTATACTGTATATGTATTTTAACTTTTACCCCATCTGCCAATATATTACTTGAGTATCATACAGAAAACATGTTTTAAGGGATATCAACACAAGTTTCTACAAAAACCTTTTGCAGTCCATGCAAGAACAAAATAAAATAGTGATATTCAGCAGGATGACAGAATACAAGCGAATATAATAGACTAAAGAAAAGAATAAAGACTGTGAAATATTCACAGATAACATAATTATATGTTTGGGGAGTTGAGTAATTCAATACCACTGTTGTTGACGATTGTTGATCTGCGTAGGTGTACAGGGTCTGGCTTCATTCACAATTTACCCTCACAGTTGCAGTGACGCACAACTTCTCTTCATTTTACAAAACGGACAAACAGGAAATTCAGCATCTGTTTTCTGTCAGGCTGCTCCCTGTGTCGCTAGAAATTCTGAGAATCGGTTTAGGAATGCGCATGTAGAGATCTTCCGATACCATTTTTTCCCTCCCGATACCAATCCTCAACTTGACACCAATCCTATTTTTAATGTAACAGGTACCAGACTAGTTATAAATTTGACCACTGTGTCAACCATAGTATCATACCACAAGTGAGAGGTACACAGGTGAGAGGTTCACAAGTGAGAGGTCCACAGGTGAGAGGTTCACAAGTGAGAGGTCCACAAGTGAGAGGTACACAGGTGGCGCACTGCAGATGTGTAGGTTTATTCTCTGTAACATTAAACAAGGAAACTTCAAACACACACAGAAAGAAATTTGCAATATCCTTTGTTATAACTTAAAACATTAGTTTTATTAAGTCAGTTTTAGCCCCATCAGCTTCCACAAAGTGGAACTAACCTCCTCATTAAGCTGGTCGTGCTGGATAGGCTATGGTTGTGCGTCTGTTGTCACCACTAGTGTTTAATGTCTTACCTGCTCCCTTACTGACAAACATGTCAGTTATTTTACAGCACTTCGCTTAGGGCTGGGCGATATGGGAAAAAATGTTATCACGATATGTTT